TACAGGCAAACCCCACACCAAAAATAGTGTCGACACTCAAACATGATATCCTTCACTTCTGCAACTTAAAGTCACTTTCTTCATGCTAGAAGACCAACTGAAGTCGAGCACAACTTCAATTTCTCAAGAGTAACACCATTAGTCAACAAATCAGCGTCAACATAGGCTTGTACCTCCAAGCTCTTTCCTGGGTTACTTATAAATCTGCTTACAACTCCTACTACATGGGCAATATCATGTCACAGCTGAAAGCCTTTTTCAATAAGTCAAGACTTGTGTCTATTACTGCCATCAAACGCAGTCTTCACCCGGTACACCCACTTGTTGTGCAATGTCTTCTTCCCTGATAGAAGTTCTATAAGCTCTCAAGTCTGATTCCCTGACAAAAAATTTGTCTCCTCCTTCTTAGCCAGCTCTCACTTGCTCTAATTCTCATCTAGTAAGATTTCTTTATAGTTATGGTTCATGTGACAAAGTCTGCAATGCCGCAAATCTGTTGCGCTCTCTGCAACTGTAGTAGCAACAGTGTTGAGCAAACCTGCAGTCATATATAGTATATAATTTTTCTTATCTCGAGCCAGTACTAATGCCCATTTGGTAACCTTCCAGGTGCTATTTGAGAACACTACTGAATGACCACCCTCATTGAGCAGCTCAACAAAAATGAGAATTTTCTTCAACTCAGGAATGTGCCTGACTTTTTGCAAAGTCCATTTACTCTTGTTAGGGAGTGCAATATCAAAGTCTCCTTTCTCCACCACGTTCAAAGTGTTCCATCATCCAAATATATCTTTCCAAAGTCACATGCAACATAGTTTCACATCAACTTCAGTGTGGGAAGATGCATGGAAGGAAGCCATTGAATCTAGTATCTAGTCATCAACAGAACTGTGAATTGCCAGCAATACTGCATCATGTAATTCTTTATTTACCACATTTACGTTATCATCCTTCTTCTTAGGATTTCTGTAGTTCCTTTTTATGTGGCCAGCTTTGCCACAATTTCAGTAGGTTGTTTGCTGACCAGACTTTGACTTTAATTTTCCTCTGTTTGAGTTCATGTTCTGTGATCTCCCTCTAGAATCAACAATCAGTGTTGAACTCGAACCCGATGACTCGCCAGAATCTTTCTTGCACACCTCCTCAGCCAAAATCAAATCACAAATATCTTCACACTTCAACTAGATTTAACTACAAAACTACTAATTGTCATCCTCATAGCTTCCCAACTATTTGACAATGAAGCCAAAAATATCAACGCATGTATCTCATCATCAAAATCAATTTCAACAGAGACCAACTAATTTGTGATAGTGCTGAAATTATTCGGGTGTTGATCAACAGACACACCTTCCGTCATCTTTAAGTTGAATAACTTTTTCAACAGTCACACTTTGTTATTCTTTGATGGCTATTCTTACATACCTAATAAAGCCGCCATGAGATCTATAGTAGTTCTCTCCTTGATGACATTGTGGCAACAGATCTTGACAAAGTTAATCACATAACCCCTAGAACATGTCAATTCAACAGATTTCATTCTGTTTCGTCCATCTTTTCCGACTTCTTTCCCAGTAATGGAACTGAAGTTTCATCTCTATAGAGGCAGACCTCTATCAGCATCATTCAACAACTAAAATATGTGTCATTAAACTTCTTGATCCTCGATTCCATCACATTGTCTCCGCCTATCTTTCTTTCTTAGATCCGAACCAAAGCTCTGATACCAATTGTTATGAAAAATAATAACATAAAGTGAAAAAACCAAATTGAAAAACTGCAAAACCAGAAGATAACACAAATTTACATGGTTTAACTAATTTGCATATGTCCACGGAGCTACAGAGGATTTTAATACTTCGAGAAATTACACCGTCGAGCGTCTCGATATTTACATGAAAACTTCCTCTCTCTCTCTCTCTCTCCCTCTCCCTTCCTCTCTCTCTCTTCCTCTCTGTCTCTTAGCTATCCACCGTAAGCTTTGCCAAGCCAAGCGTAAGGAGCGGAGGGATTAAGGAGATTGATTAAGAGCAATTAAAAGGGCTTGGCTTAGCTCTTATGACATGCCAAAAGAGGCTATTTAAAGAAAATAGCCTCTATTTAAGAGAGGTAGGTGGAGAGATGTAGGTGTGGTAGGTGGGAGAGAGGTAGGTGAGACGTCGTAGGTGAGGCGTGGTACGTGAGGTAGCTAAGTCACAGGCTCCATATATTTAACAAGAGAGAGATCATCAAACATATCCAGCAAAAGGGAAATCCTCAAACCGTCATTATAAATATATGAAAGCAATGAGACAATAATGTTTCATTCAATAATCTTTCAAGGTTATATAAGAGGTGTATACAAAAAGCTACAAAATAACAAAATATAGAAATATCCAACAAAAGGGAAATCCTCAAGCCACCATTATAAATATATGAAAGCAACGAGGCAATAATGTTTTATTCAATAATCAATCAAGGTTATATAAGAGGTGTATACAAAAAGTTGCAAAATAACAAAATATAGAAATGAACCCAAGGTAGTATGCAATGCTCAACCAACTTTAGACATGATCTTGCTTGTGATATTCTCAAAAATGGTACCTTGCATGCAACTTTGGAAGGAAATTTTGGACTTGTGCTTAAAATATGTTCATTACACAAAAAAGAGAGGAATCAACCTAGTCTTTAAAGGAAGGAGAGTGACATCATATTTTAAAATATATTGAATTACATTAAGGGGAAGGGACTATGCATGATTAATATCATCTTCTTTGAACTATATGTAAGATGACGATAATAACAATTGCAATGCTGACTGTAATTTTTATTTTTAATTTTTTTTTTGGGGACTTTGAGCAAACTTATGAAAACTCGCAAAGACAACACATGCAATGTCTCAAACCTAATACAATACTAACCTTCATACTTCTTTTAGCAAAACCAAGACAAAGCTGGCCTTCATACTTCTTTTTCCTCAAACTCACGAACATAGTGCTGACCTTCATGCTTCTTTTTCACAAATGAAGACAATGTTCTTCATACTTCTTTTTCACAAACTCACAAAGATAGTCGTGGATATGCAAAGCCTCTAACCCAAAAAACTCTTATTGCATTTGCAAATCCTTGAATATGTTGAGACTGTATTGCATCACTTAGCTCTCATAGATCAAAACAAGAAGTGAATAGAACTATTTTCATATCAAAATGTAAATTAGACACACATGCAAGAAACTTATTTTTCAAAAATAAAAAAAATATAAAGCACAACTTACCCTAAACTCTTAAAATTGCTTGAAAGTCCAACTATCATAAAAACAATCAAACAAATGATATAAAAAAACACATATATTGTGGCAAATGGTGCCAAAAACACTCACATAGAAAACACAATATTACATCTAGAATACTTCAAAGAATTCATTTAGGACAACTATCATACAATCAAACAAATTCTACATATTTTTGTCCAACTAAAAATGGAATGGCTCCATAATACTAAAAACACTTAGATCAAAATCACAATTTAACTTTTGAATATTCATGAAGAAGGCCACATCATCCTCACTTACATAAAGATTCTTCCTCTTTTGAATAGGGCTTGCACCTGTATGAATATAAATTTTAAATTTATACCTTCTACACAATACCAAAAACACTTAGATCAAAATCACAATATAACTTTTGAATATTCATGAAAGAAGGCCACATCCTCCTCTATCATATAAAGATTCTTCCTCCTTTAAATAAGGCTTGCACTTGTATGAATAGAAATTTTAAAGTTTTAATGTCTAGGTGGCTTACTAATAATAAAATAAAAAATTGTTCTAATAACAGGTAAAGAAACTAGAACTTAGAAACTTAAAAATCAAAAGAATTTAAATATAAAAAAAGAAGACAATTTTTTTAACTTTTAATAAAACTAAGAATTAAAAAATTGGGAGTCACCTGTTTGGTTGAAAGGCCTATTTTTTCCAAATCTGATAACTGTAATAAACATCAAGAAATGATTTTTTTTATAAGAAAAGAAAACAGGCTCAGGTAAACCAAAAGTTTATCATGGACTCACTGATTTAAAAGGCATAAGGGAGCTTTTCCTTAGCTCAAGTATACTTTCTGCTCTTTTTTGACCAATTCCCTGTAAGGAAAACAAAGTAATAAAAAATTTTAATTTAAAAAAAAAAGATAAAAAAATTGTTATATGAATTATGAAAATAAAATAAATAAATAATAATAAATTAAAAAATTACCTTTAGTAGCATGAGCTCCTCTCTAAATTGAAGGGTGGAGAGAAAAACAAAATCGAAAGCTTATTTATCAGTTAACTCATGTAAAAAAAGAAACAAATGAAGATAAAACAATACTAATTTATTTAGCCACGAACTATTATTGAATGGACAAACAATGAAATTAAAGTCAATAAATTCATGCCTTAAATGTCAACGTTTGTGTTTGATAGACACCATTTTGTATATTTCCTTTCTTCTTCATTGTGTTAGTTCGTTAGTTCAAAATTTCTAATACTTCCAATTATCCAACTAATATTTTTCACCATTTTTCAATGTATTCTATATGCAAACTTCTACTTTTTATTTTTTTGTCATTTAAATCTCACAAGAAAAACATTAAAAATAAAAAAAATAAATAAAACTTACTTGTTTGCATTATTCAAGAATGACATGTATTCCTCCATGAGTAAATCCTACAAAATTGAAAAACAATCAGTGAATCATATAGAATTAGATTTATTAATCAATAAATACTAAATATAGGGGCCATTTAGAACTGATAATTGTTTTAAAAAACATTCATAATATCTAAAAGCTCTTCTGAGTTTTTCTAAAATAAAAAGTAAAAAACATATAAATATATTTAAAAAAAAGGTGGGAAAAATTGATCACAAATAGTCCCCTCAGAGCCTAATTAATACCTTCAATTTTTCAAATGGAGTTTTTGAATCCAACTCAGAAAACACTTTGCCATTACCATCTGATACTTCATTACTGTTTGGATTTAAAGCAGAAAGAACTTTAGTATGAGAATTATGTAATTTCTGCGCCATTTCATTCATTTTTCCTGCACAAAATAGGAACAAAGATAAAATATATATATTTCAAAAACAAGTTAAATATTTATATTGTTTACCACTCAAGTTTGTTTTATCTTCTTGCTTCTGATTTCCATTTGCAACCTGTAAGAGTAATTTCAAATGAGGAAAAATTAAAACTTTGCATCACTTGTGGCAAAATTATTAATATTCCTAAAACAAATATGCTCTGAATTGAACTAGTAAAATATAAACTAGATCAAGAACAATAAAACTTAGAATTTTCTAATTGAACCTCTACTGGTTTGCAAAATAGTTCAATAAAATAAAGATAATTTTATCTGGAATTTTGTGTTTTCTTGAAGACTAATGATGCAAATCCAGATGAAATTATGGAGGAGGATTTGGAAACCCAGACAAATCAGGAAGGGCGATAAATCTTAATTTCAAATTCAAAATTTAAATTAAAGTTTCAAATTATGGAGGAGGATTTTGAAATCGAGACAAATCAGATTTCTCGTGACAGAAAACTTCGAATTTTTCAATAAATCTTTTGCAGGTTTACAAAAAGGTTCAATATAACAAAGAAATTTTCATGTAAAATTTTGTTTTTCTTAAGACAGAACAAATTTGGCGAAAAAAGAGAAGATTGTTTAATCTTCCTTCTTTACAAAAAAGGGAGAATTGAGACAAGACAAATAAGTGTTAAAACCTCAACACAAGATGAAACATTTGCCTCAGAGTCAAACAATTTCCTGCAAAAAATAATAATCGAATCAGACCTTGATAATTTATGCTTCAATGATTATTATACCAACCATTTCCTATGTATTTACATATCCACACCTAAATTTCTTTTTTTTATTTACATTTATACCAGCCAGTTCATTCTTATCATATAAAAAATGCCATTATTTTAACTTTTAAAATGTGAAATACACCTTTTCATGCATTGGAAAAACAATATATATACATATATATATATATGTAAAAAATGAAGTATAGGTGTTAGATGTGTAAATACATGAGAAATGAGTGGCATGTATGTAAATTTTGCTTTTTTTAAAATTTATACCACCTATTTCCAATGTATTTACATTCCAACACCTAAACTTTACTTTTTTACAATTATACCACCCAAATCATTCTTATCACAAAAAAAAGGTCACTATTTTAACTCCTACAATGTGAAATACGCCTTTTCATGCATTGAAAAGGCAATATATATATGTAAAAAATGAAGTTTAGGTGTTAGATAAGTAAATACATAGGAATTGAGTGGTACTTATGTAAATCTTCCCAATAACATTTACCTCCCCTTACTAGTAACAGGAAGGCCTTCAGCATTCTTTGCTTTTACAGTACTGCAATTAGCTCCCAAATTCTTTGAATAACTAACAGAGATTGGAGTTCTGCGCGGAAGAGGAGAACAAAGTCCATTCATTCTTTGGATGCTCTTTATCTTCCCTTTGGATTCAAGCCAAGCTCTTAGCTTTGCTTCCATGTCGACCAATTCGTTCGGGTTTTCTTTCCTTTTGACTGAACCAGAATGGTTTACGATCTGTCGAGAGCGGGCGGCGAGGCTGACTGTGTGGACAGCCTCTTGATATGAACCAGGATTCTGAATCAAGATAAAAAAATTAGGAACTATGATCAAGATAACAAGATACTCTCGTTACTACACAATGCTCTGATGTAAGTTTCTAGAGCTCTATTAGGCGTGGACTAGGCTGACCAATTTTGGTTTTTTAAGAGGAAGATTTTCATGTCTTTTATGTATTGATGTATCTAACATCCAAACTTTTGATTTTTTTGCATTTGAGTGATATAAATGCAAAAGTTACAAGGCAAGATATATATGTAACAACCGTGTGGCATGTATGTAAATTCCCCAATTTTTTATTTGATCGCTTCTCAAAGATTGAGAATTTACTTTGTGATGAGTGTAATATAAATTTTAATTAATGCTTTATATATCAATATAAATTCAAATTATATATATATATTTTTTACTATTTTCAGTGGTAGTCCTTTATTCTTGGCGTGCTTCCATTCTAATAATATCTAAGAATTGCTTGCTTTTCTCATGTTTTTTTCAGGTTTAGTCCAATCTGTATGGATCAACAGTTGAACACTGGATCATCATCCGCACATAATATTAATGGCTTCATTTCGGGTTGGATGTGATGATTTATTAATGGTATGCTTGCAACTTCACTTCTTACTTATTTATAATCTATGCAGACTTCTTTTTTGCTTAGTTTGTCACACACATATATACATACATATATATAGATATATATAGATATATATATGAAATTCTAACTTGGAAAAAATAAGTGAAGGAAATTATGAATAAGGAACAATAAGCTGGTTTAGTCAATGTATTGAAAAGGTGTAATTACAATATGGGATATCTTTATAATTCCATTTTTATAGATATATTTTAGAGAAATTTACATATGGCATAATTCTTATGTTTTTACCATATCTAACAGCCAAAGTTTGCCATTTACACTTATAACAACTTGACACTTATAACACCTTGGCAACATAAACTTGTGCATGAAAAAGTGTATTTCATTTTTAAAAAGAAAGTGAGGTGGTATTTTTGATGTGATGTTAAAGATTTTTTAGTGATATGCATGTAAATGCAAAATTTGCAGTGTTAGATATGTAAATGTATAAGAACTGTGTGGCATTTATGTAAATGCCCTTGTTGTTTATTGTGACTCACTCTTAGAGGCGTTTATTTTTGATAATAAGCCTCAAATTTGACATATAGTTGGGTTAACATTCCAAGGAATGTTTCTTATGTAAGTAATTGATAAAACAATGTATGCTAGTAAATGAATTTGGCATAATTTGTGTAGAAATTTCTCCATAAAAAGTTCTATTATGTTGCCTAGCTCTCATCATGGCGATGTCATAATCCAAATTAAAACCAATCCTGATGCTAACAGAGTCTGTTATCTTTGATGGTGTTGTATAACTCACCAACCTTGAAATCTTGAATCATGAACAATAAAATCATAAACGTAAAGCATTATAGAAACCCAAATCTCAAGTCATTAATTTAGAAGGCAAGCAATCATGAAAAGGGGCATTTACATACATACCACTCAGTTCCCATGTATTTACATATCTTACGCATGAACTTTGCAGAAACTTGAAGTTCAAGTGCCAGTTATGTAAATACATGGGAATTTAGTGGTATATATGTGAATCTTCCAAATAAAATAAAAAATAAATAAATAAGTAAGCACTTACAAGGCAAGCAATCATGAAAGCATGACTATCTCCTCCAAGTGAATCCTGCAATATCCGTGTCAATTTGCTCTCTCTAAAGGGAATTCTTGTTTCATTGTTGTTCAAAGCATATATAACATTAGACAAAGCAAATAAACTCTGGTTTATCTTCCCGCTCTCCTGAACTCTTATCCCTTCATTGCCCGTCCTTCTATTATCTTCATTACCTGGATAACTCAAAGATTCCGTAAAGTTAAGGGGTTGTCTGACAGCAGATGAGATTTGAATTATTAGGATTTAGTGAATCCAGTAAATTCATATTTACTTAATCCTGAATGGGTTAAATCCTGAAAACTCTCTGGCAATGAATTTAGTAAATCCCTTAAATCTAGAAAATTGTTTGGCAGTTACCGCCTTAAATCCAAAGCACGATTTACAACATCCAAAATAATCGTCTAGCAAGATTCCGCTTAAATCCTGCCTAAATTCTCCTCTAAATCCATTACCAGACAGCCCCCTAAATAATATTTAGAACAGAAAATCAAATCAAAATCTCACAAAAAGAACGATTTTTTAAAGACCTGCTAAGTCAATAAGATTGAGCTTTCCCTTAACACCTCCATTGTTAACTGCAATAACAAGAACAGCGTGGCTGCGACTAGAAACATCATTAAGTCCAGTATGAGCAACCTTTCTTCTCTGCACGCCAATGGAGAAAGCTTCATAGTACTCCTCCATGGAGGACACAGGAACCTACGAATTACCAAAGAAAACCATAAAAACCATAGTTTTTCTCCAACTTTCTCAAGAACAATGGAAGCATGAAGCGCTTACCAGAGAAAGCCCCTTGAGCTGAACTCTGCCATTCTTATCCTCTAGGGGCATTATCTCCTTCGCTTTGGGTTCCAACAAATCGTAGCACCGATCCATATAAACTTCGTAATACGAAATCTCCACTGTGCTCTGCGTTTTCTTGCTTAAAGACAAGATGGCTGCCATGGACAAGGGAATGAGACCAAGTTCATTCTCTGTACCCTGCTTCATCAGCCATTACGTTTCATGGAAACTCAAATCATTGATAATAAAAAGCAGATCTTAGTTCATTGAAACCTGCATGGTGTACGTCTTTCCACTTCCTGTTGCTCCATAGGCGAAGACGGTGGTGTTGCGGCCATGAAAGATCTCTGGGATAGCAGCGCTAATCTCCTCACTGAAAATCTGATTAATCGGATCTTCTTGCCCGAAGAAGGAATCAAGTTTGTACCACTCATTTCGGCTGCAGATTAACGGGGCGAAGACGACTCAGGATCGTGCAGAGATTTAAAATCGAGTTTAGGGAGAAGAAAGAAAGAGAGAAAGAGAGATTTCTTACATTGTTATTTGATCTTTGAGATGTACATTGACTTCTTCGCCTGCCTGGTTGACAAGTGAGATGCAGGAGATTGGTTTGCTTCCGTCTTTCTCGATCTCTTGGGGCAAGAAGGGCCGAACTCTGAGAAGAACCCTAATGTGGGATGAGGGGAAAGTGGTGGATCGGGTTCTGGTCATGGGAGATTCCATTGAGGAGCTAATGAGAGAGATTGGGAGAGACGCCAAGGGAGCGGGGAGGAGAGTTCGGAAGAAGAAGTCTGGTTCGGATTCGACCGTTAGTTTGATGTTGCTCCGGGGGAACCAATAATTCAAATTTTAAATCACTTACGGTATGGTAAACCGCGAATGAAGCTAAGGGTCCTTCGCCCGACTCCGGATTCTGAGGCACGGCAAAAGCATCCCTATCGAGAATGAATTTATTCTCTTAAATATGTTCTCTTTGTGCAAAAATTTTTCTGTGCGGACTCTTGACGTAGCTCTACGTGCTACGTAGGGTATTCCTAAGTTATTTTCAGGTTATTTCTAAGTTATTTTCAATAATTCTGACATAACCCAGAAATAACCCACGGTCTTTATTTCTGAGTTATTTCTAGGTTATTTCGGTATTATTGAAAATAACCAAAAAATAATTTGAAAAAAACTCAAGAATACCCTGCAACGCACATAAAACTACGTAAGGTGTCCGGACAGAAAATGATCGTCTCTTTCTAGGATTTGAAAGACGAACCAGCTTAAGCTTTGGTTAGTTGATGATGAGATATCAAATCTTAGGGAAGATTGTCTGATAAGGGGATTCCAACAGAGAACAATTTTTTTTTTTATTTTTATATATTTGATTTGCTGCCGATAGCTGCATTTGTGCTATATCAGTTTAATTTTCTGTCTCAAAATTTCTGTAAAATTAATGCAATTAATTTGAACATATTTCATATTTCTAAGATATTGAAAATAAAGTGCAAGCTTTTGCATGAAAACGACATGCTTGAGAGCTTTGGACCTGCTCCTCGGGGTATCCGACAAGCAAAATTGGCAGGGGCAGAATTGTCATTTTCTAGAAACAACTGCCCCACAGTTGTTTTTACACAGCTGCAACAAATAGACAGACAGCTTCCCCACAACAGCTTCCTATGATAGTGCAACTGCAACCAAAAAGCTAAAAAACTGCAGCTACCCCAAACAGACCTTAAAATGCGAGAATTCCATATTTGTGGGCCCCCGTGGAGAAAAATTATTACGTGCATTTGAAATTTCAAATCGAAAAGACCAATAGTGAAATGCGTTTTTCATAACCCAAATTAGAAAAACTATGAAATGTCATATGATATGAGAGTGAGTAATATTTCAATTATTCTCATTCTTTACCCTCTAACTTTGTCATTCTTTAGAAATTCTTTCATGATGTTCTTATTTACATTTCTCTTTTTCACTAAATTTGGATGAAAATTATGTTTCAAACATTTGATGAAAATCATAACTAATATTTGAGGTGCTTATAGAGTTATTTCGTATTCGTTGCATTGAATTAGGCATCCTAATAGTTTATTGCTTATATTATTGGGGTATTATTTGGAGTTGCTTAGTTTTATTTTGGATTTGACTGAACTATATTTTCAATGCCGCATTTCTTGCCACTCTGGTTTTGGGTTTGACTGAACTTTTTGTTTTGACTCTTCTTCATGGGATATATGTTTTAAATTCATATTTTGTCAGTTTTTTTATTTATCTTGTATTCAAGCTTATGGTTAGATCTTGTTCGTTGCTATTCTAAGTCGTGTTGTGTGTTGTTGATTGTAATAGTGTCGTCTGTTATTGATCCATATTATTCTTCTCCTTCTTCCTCATATTTTGTCAGTTTTTTTATTTATCTTGTATTCGAGTTTATGGTTAGATCTTGTTCGTTGTTATTCTAAGTCTTGTTGTGTGTTGTTGATTGTAGTAGTGTCGTCTGTTATTGATCCATATTGTTCTTCTCCTTCTTCTCTCCTTCTTCCATATGTTGGAGTTGTCTTACATTTTTGGAGGATTATTTGGATCTTAGATTTTCTTGAGATTGTTTGGTGTTGATTCAAGTGGTATTCCTCTTCTTCTTCCAAATGTTAGAGTTAATGTGTTTTTATTATTGTTGTGTTTTCTATCTATATATTTTTTTGAGCTTCATCTTGTATTGTGGCTCTTTTTTTGTATGTTTTCTCTTTAATTTTGTTGTTTTTTATTTTGTTTTTTTAGGTTAAGTTGTATCTTTTTGCTTTCGAATATAACTGAGTGTGACTCTTATCTTTTCTAATAAAAACACTTCAATTATCCAATTATTTGGCTTTATCATTTATCAAATTGAATAAATTTTTAATATTTTAATTGACATTTTATTAGAATAATAGAAATTATATCACGCGATATTCCATAATGAGAAAACTAAGATGTGAAGATTTATGTCATAACTATACGAGTAAACTTAGAATCCTAAGACTAAATGTTATATCCGCGAAAAAAGCATAACCTCAAAAGCAAATCTAAAGTAAAATATAACAAAAAAATAAAAAAAAAAACATATAGCATTAAAAAAAAAAAAAAAAAAAAAAAAAAACATATAGCATGATTTCATAAAGGACCGGGCAAGTCCAACTTGACTGAACTTACAACCTCGATTGGATAAGATTGTCATCTGAACCCAAAAAATAGTAATAAAATCATTAATGACCAGTCTCATGAAATGCAAGATAAAATAGACTGTGATTTATTAATAAAAACATGTCTTACAACTTGATTATAAAATCAAGAAGACTAAATATGAATGGTTTGCAATATCTTAAGGTTAATGAAAATATATTTTTAAAAATTTTAAATTTATATATGTTTTTGCTTGTCACACTCATATGTTTTATTTGTTAACTTTTAATGTCAAGTGAGAAAAAAACTGCTTAATGGTGAATGCATAAAAGATTACTTTATCATCCAAGTCGGTATGAAAAGACAAACTCCTTCTATAGGACTGATTCTCAAAGGACAATCACCCTTTTTGTATAATAAGCGAGAGTTTTAAAAACAAAGGAAAACTTTAATATGGATGCATATGTCTAAATGTGTTCTTTTTGTGACTATTTCTGAATAAAAAAGATTTCTAATTTTATTTTATTTTATTCAATTTTATTTTTTAGATGTAGTTATGTTTCTAAGATGTGAATGCAATACGTTATTTTTATTTTATTGTTGTAGTTATGAATATTGATTTAGAAAAGTTAAATTTGAGTTAAATTGAGTAGAAAAATTAGTCCTTAAAGTGCTTATGAATAAATCTAGACAAAAGCAAACATCATCAACAAACCTAAAAAAATGAGCAGAATTCTAATCGATGACAAGAAAAAATAAAACAACACAAAATCAAGACAACAAAGAATGAAAGATGGATATCCAGTCCTATACCTAAAGCAACTCGTTCGTCAACCATATCATATGGATATCTTTGCTCGTTCTTTGAGATTTATGGGGTTCATCCTCGTTTCTCATCCTTTCCTTGTCCATCCATTTGTTGTTCATTTTTTTGTTGTTCCTCGTTTCATAGTTCATCCTTTTATTTTGATAGTCCACACGTCCACAGTTGAACAATTAAGACAACATCATAACTCTAAAAGAGTCAACAGGGAAAGTAAACTTATGTATACCACAAAGTCTAGAGTTACCAGAACGCTTTACAAAACAAAATTAACACATCACAAGCTTGTTGAAGCCCTTACAATACTAACTTAGCAAATCATAACATAAAAAAAGACATTCACAATTCACAAAAGAAGACTAGTTGCGTTAACATTCAGTATGATGAGCTGAACCCGCCATAAACAAATATATATAACTAGTAAATAAGACAAAACATAACAATTTGCTCTCACACCAACTTATTGCTAAAACTAGGGTATGTTGGCCTCACTTTTATAAGGTATTACTTTTCCTCCCATGATTTCTTAGTAGCTCTCTTAGAAGACTAGTGACGAGACCCACACATGTTAGAAACTAAATCATCTCGTAACTTTTTGTAGTTTCATGTATTTGACCTTGAATCCTCAAACCTTGGTTGAGTTGATTGGGGTCAAATTATTGAAGCTCGAGTTGAATTCTTATAAGTTTGTAAGTACCCTACGCAACCCTTTCTAGCTTAGAAACATAACTTTATGCTTCGAGCACATTTTGACCTTATAAGATCCTTTCAATCAAACTTAATATTTACTCTAAATTCATATATTTGATTCGAGAAAAAACTCAAAAACATTGTGAGTTCGTCTTAAACCATGAAGAAATTTAAATTGAAAAAAAAATATTTAAAAAAGAAAAAGATTATAAAACAATTGATTAAAATAAAAAAAATATTGTTGGCCTCACTTTTATAAGGTATTACTTTTCCTCTCTCTAGAATGTTGGATATAGCCCATGATTTCTTACTAGCTCTCTTGGAAGACTAGTGACGAGACCCACACCTGTTAGAAACCAAATCATCTCGTAACTTTTTGTAGTTTCATGTATTTGACCTTGAATCCTCAAACCTTGGTTGAGTTGATTGGGGTCAAATTATTGAAGCTCGAGTTGAATTCTTATAAGTTTGTAAGTACCCTACGCAACCCTTTCTAGCTTAGAAACATAACTTTATGCTTCGAGCACATTTTGACCTTATAAGATCCTTTCAATCAAACTTAATATTTACTCTAAATTCATATATTTGATTCGAGAAAAACTCAAATACATTTTGAGTTCGTCTTAAATCATGACTGAAATTTAAATTTAAAAAAATTATTTAAAAAAGAAAAAGAATATAAAACAATTGATTAAAATAAAAAAAATATAAATCAATAAATGCGACCTATTTTTTATAGTATATAATAATAAAATTAAAATTAATATAAAAGCTTATAATAAATGACTATATTGCATGATTAATTAAGTAGATTTTAGTTAACTTTCTATTTTATTGTTATCTCATTTAGATAGCATCCAATGGAAGCCACCCTCGTTCCCTTCACCCGGCTTTAAATACCGAGCTCCGCTTCGCTCGCCCACCATGATCTATTCCTCGGCGCGCTGTCCGCCATGAGCACCGCCGCTCTCGCTTCCTCCCCGAAGCTGCTACCGCCGCCTCCTATGGCCCCGATCAGATTGTGACTTCGCAGGTCAGTTTCGGCGAGGACACCAACGCCAAACGCCGCGGTGGCGGTCCAACCTAGGGTTCTCTGCTGCGAGGAGATCGACGGAAAGATGTGGATCCCTGAAGGCGGCGCCGTTGCAGTTGCCGATGATCTTTTGATGGAGTTGGGTGCTGGACTTGAGCTAGCAACTTTTGCAGTACCACATCCTTTTCTGCCATTGGATTATATGGATAATGTGGCAAAGAATGTTGGTGCCAGAGAGCAAATAAAAAGGAGATTGATAGAAAAAGGAAAAATCACTGATGATAGGTTGCTCTTTCGTGTGTCTTGCTATGCAGCTAAGGTCACTTTGAATGCTTTGGGAGAGATGTTTCAAGCTGTACGAAGCATCATGAAATGGCATGGTGATTCTGCAAAGATTATTGCTTCAGTGAATCGACCGGTAAGGTGGACTACTCCCCTTAGATTGCCAGTTATTCAGCCTTACAGAAATTCTGAAAGACTTCTTATAAGAGCCTCACTACAAGTCTTGGCTTTAAAAAGGATGTTGTTTGGCTGCAGCTAAGCAGCAAAAGACAGCTTTTCCTCCAAATTTTGTTCGTTCTATTGATGGTTTTCATATGATGATGTCGGCTATTTCCTGCAGAAATTCTGGTTTAAATTTCGCAGGGGTGCAAGATTCTTTCTGGACGCATGCATGTGACGTGGACAGAATGAATCAAATTCTAAAAGAACAGTTTGTGGAGCTTTACAACATTCTCATCCTCGAGAATCTGCTTGAGAGTTTTGAGACATCTTTTCCAACGTTAACTTCTCTTTCTCTGCCCCAAGGGGCGATTTTGAACTTCAAAAAGTTCTCCAATGTCCCTAGTTTTTTAACTAATTCATTGTTTTTATAAGCATATCTCAAGAGCTGGATATAAGCGCCGCTGCTCGGAAGCTGGAATGTACAGTATTTTGGCAATCAAATTAATACATACATTTGAGGTTTCAGATCCAATCTAGATGAAGTCGCTTCCCTTCCTGATTCTGTTCTTCGCCGCCTCTCTCTCTCTCTCCACAGGAACATGGGGTAAACTCCTTGATACTGGTTCTGCAGCACCCCTTGATCGTAATGATCCAAATTATGACAGCGGTAAGGAGCTTTATTAGTTAGTAGGTGCAACTTTTTCTTCCCCACTTGATGACTACAAAAGGGCTGTGACATCAATCATTGAGGAGTATTTCACCACAGGAGATGTTGAGCTTGAGGCTTCCGACCTCAGAGATCTTTGTTTGGATGGATGAGTATCACCATTATTTTATTAAGAAATTGATTTCTATGGCAATGGATAGGCATGCCAAGGAGAAAGAAATGGCTTCAGTTTTACTTTCGGCTCTTTATGCTTATGTAATAAGCGCATGTCAGATTAGCCAAGGTTTTATTATACTTCTTGAGTCGGCAGAGGATTCGGCAGTTGACATATTTGATGCAGTTGAAGTATTGGCTCTTTTCATTACTCGAGCTGTTGTTGATGATGGATTACCTTTTGCATTTCTCAACAGAGCGAAGAAAGTGCTTCCTGAAAATTCTAAGGGGTTTCAGGTTGTTGAAATTGCTGAAAAGAACTATCTTTCAGCTCCTCGTCATGCTGAGTTAGTTGAGCGCAAATGGGGAGGTAGTACTCACCTCACTGTTGAAAAAATGAAGAAAAAGATATCAGATCTATTGAGAGAATACATTGAAAGTGGAAATACAGGAGAGACTGGGTTGTTGCATTAGGGAATTCAGTGTTTAATTCTGTTCTCTTGAAAGATCTCAAAAATACTAATTATTATATTCCATATTGGTTATAACTCACGGTTATAAATTATATGAGAAATCTTGAGAATCTCTATTTATTTCTCTCCTTAAATTAGAGAGATTAGCTGTCTTTTATATTTTGTTATTATTCATTTTTTTTTCTACTGTATTCTGTTTTTATTGTTTTCCTTACCAGTAAATCCTGTAACGAGTATTTATACCCCTCTTTTCATCAATAAAATTAAGTGATCTCATATATTTTCATTGTATCAGAGTCATACCAATCTTCATCGGTATGACGACTTCTTCTTCTTCATCCTCCCAAGAAATATCATTCACCTCATCTGCCCCTGTTCCAACTGGAATCGATGACACTTCCTCCCTCATCACTGACCACAAACTCAACGGCCAGAACTACCTCAAGTGGTCACAATCCGTCATGACGTTTATCTGCGACAGATGCAATGACGACTATATCACTGGTGATGTCGTCGCTCCGACTAAGAATGACCCAAAATTCCGAACATGGAATGCAGAAAACCACATGGTCATATCGTGATTAATCAATTCCATGATCAACGCATTGGCGAAAATTTTTTTCACGACACGACCAAGAGTATTTAGGATGCTGCTCGAGAGACATACTCTCACTCAGATAACACATCCAAGCTCTTCGAGATCGAGTCAATCCTCCACGATCTTCGCCAAGGTGATCAATTTGTGACTCAGTATTTTAATGTCCTCTCACGTTACTGGCAACAGGTTGACATGTATGAAGTCCATGTCTGGTCATGCACTCCAGACTCCAACTTATACCGTCAGATCATCGGGCAAAAAATGATATTCAAATTTCTTCTCGACCTCAACAACTCTCTCGATAATGTCCGCTCTCGTATATAAAGCTTCAAACCACTACCGAGCATTTGTGAGGCCTTCTCCAAGGTTCGCCGCGAAGAAAGCCGCCAGAAAGTCATGCTTGGGTCTATCTCCACCTCGCCCAATCTTTCCGTTGACGCACACCCTTGCAGCTCGGTTTCCTCCGCCTCGACACAGCGGCAACTCATAACCCAAGGGTCGCCCCTGGTGCGACCACT